GGTGGTGTGACTCAGGTCATCCTTTGTTTTCTTTTTTTCTTATTTTTGCATGCATCCACACTACAGTCTAACTAATCTTTCACCTGTTGGGATTATCTTCTTTTTTTGTTTCTTAATGTTAATGTGTTTTGTGTGTTTTTGCTCTCTATGTTTATCCTATAATTATTATTGCTACTCCATTGTGTGTGTGTGTGTGTGTTCTTGGAGACTCACTCTGTGTGTGCACCTGGGCTTGCACTGTGATGATGAGATGTTTTTTTTTGCAGTGATAGGGAAATAATAATAAGAGATTAATTTATATTTATAATTGCGTATATACACATATGGACTTACACCCATAGTTGGTGTATATTTCTGTGTTTACTGGGTAAATTGGGCTAATGGTTAATATGTTTTTCTTTGCTTGATGCGTTTGCTGGGTGGTTCAGCCTTTTTTTTGAAATATTTCGGACTGTGGGCGTCATTGTTTTTTTTGTTTTTACTTTTACTGAGGTTATTGCGCTGTACTGCATTCTTTTACTGATAGGTTTTACTTTTACGATGTGAGTTTCCATAGTGGTAATCGTTTTGTGTGTCCTAACATGTTTGATACTTCATTTATTTATTTTCTTTTTTGCTTTTTTAATTCTCTTTCTTTCTAGATCAGTGCTTTTACGCAAACCAAACCCTTTGTCTCTCTCATGATGATGCGCCGTGTGATGTGTGTGTTGGCCGTTGTGCTGTGCTGCACCTGCGGGTATACCATGACGGCTGCTGCTGCTGATTGGAGTGATTTTCTTGGAACAGCAGCCTGTAATTCTACATTAAGTCAAAGTGAAAAAACTGCTGGTGGAGTAAGTTGTGCGAATTGGACTTCTCATGGGTTTGTTAAAGGAGTATCGGAACGCTCCAGTGAATTAACCTCAAACCGTCAAGTAAAAGGGAAGGCAGAAGAGAAAAAATTGGAAGAACAGAAAGATCCACAAGAGCTACATGAAGTTGATTCTTCACTGCACGTAGGAAAGCAAGAGGGGAAGCTGGGGAATCAATCGAAAGGGGCTGAAGTGGATGCACGTGTTTCTCAATCAAGCTTGAGCGATCCAGCACCGACATCTTCCGGTATACTTGCGGGTTCTGGGGCACAAGATGGTGGTCATACTCACGTGGAGGAAGTACGTGAACCGGAACCAACAGAATCTTCGAAAATATCTCGTAACGTTGAGGTGCCTCAAGGTGATCCAAGAGCACCGAGTAACACATCTGATAACAGTACACCTGCCGACCTTAATCTTACCCAGCAATCTCCAGAAGCTGTAAATGCGACTGCTGCATCAAACTCACAAGAAACCAATTCCACTACTCCACAGAGCCCTGAGAGCAACGTCACTGATGCACCAACCACCACTCCATCTTCATCTTCTGTACCCAATTCAGATATCAACACCATCACTTCCACCGTACTGAAGAAGGCTAATGTTGACAGCAGTGTCAGTTCAGCGTGGATGCGCACTGCAGCACCGCTGCTGATTGTGGCTGTGTTGTTCTCCGCTACCGTGTACTGAACGGTGGGTCTCATCTGAGGGCAAATAATAATAATGGTTAAACTAACATAATCATATTTGCGTACATACCCCATGGGTGAATAAATTAATAATCTGTTTACCAGCTTTCTTTTTGAATTCGAATTTCTTTTCTTTTACTTTTATGTGTGTGTGTTCTTCTTGTAATAATTTCATTACTTGCTTTTTCCGCTGCGTGTGTGTGTGTGCAGACAGCTGGGCGGTTCTGCTCACTGACGGTATACATGTCTTGCTAGTACACCCAGATGTGTGTGTGGAGTAATTTAATATATAAACTAGAGCCATGGGGTATTGTGTGTGCTTGGCTCTCTCTCTTATTTGGGTATTCTGTGGTGTTCTCTTTTTCTTCTATTAAGGGACATATTATTATCATACAAGCGGGATATTTCTTTTTGTTGGTTTTCTCTGCCGCTTCTCCTCTCTCTTGCCAATGTGAGTATTTGTGTGTATCCACTCTCTATATGTGTCTCTTTCTTTTTCTTTTTATTATTCTCACTCTTTCCATTAGACCTGTGAACTCAAGTGACGAGAACAACAAGAAGAGTGACGCTAATGATAACGAGGATGACAAACCTGTGTTAACTAATCCCACTGCTGCTGGTGATGGTTGTCTGTGTCTGAAGTTATTGCAAGATATGCATAACGCCCTGTCCTGTTCTTCTTCTATTCCAATATCTACTGTTGTGGAGCCACATAACTTGCGTGTAGTGGAGGATTACACTCCTCTCTCTGTGGGTGGTTTTATGGCAACTTCTGCAGAGACCATCTTGAACAGTGCCCATAATGTGCGACCAGGGGATATTATGTGTGTTGGGTGTCCTCCACCATCAACAATGAATCGTCATTTGACTGTTCATTCTGTTTCTCCTGTTGATATTGTTGCTGCTGCTGCTTCTTCCGGTTCTTCCGGTTCTTCTAGTACTGCTGGCATGCAGTTTGTGAAGGAGACGGATCTCACCGAGGAGGAGAAGCTGTACGGTAAGCGTCTCTCTCTTGTGATATGCTGCGGGAGTTGTTTGAAGTGGGCTGTGTGGATAGTGCCACAAACTCGCTGGAGGCCATCTTTATTGATGGCACACGGCAGAAGTTGAAGGTGTTCGCTGTGCGGCCGGCCGGTGTTTCTGGAGAAGGAACTATTTCGCAAATGGAAGAAGGATGCGAGTACACGTCCGGTGCGAACTGTGTACGTGGGATTGGAGGGACGTGCCTCAACGCCAACACCACCTGTTGCATCTCCATCTGTACATGATGGGAGTAACAGTGACCATAACCATATGAATGGTGCTAAGCAGGATGGTAATCATAATAACAATGATTATATTAAAAAGAAAACAATGGTGATTTTTCTTTTGTGTTTTGTTTAAAGATTGATGATGTGCTGACTCTACTAGTCTTGTTTGTTTGTGTTTTTCTTCATAATTGCTGTAACTGGATCACTTATAATCCACATTGTTGACTGTTCTCAAAATTTTGTGTCACACTCTCTTACACATGTAGATATTTACATTATTATAAAATTCAACCATGAGCACGGAATCTGAATTGGAGGCCAAATACGATGCCGCCGTCAAGCGCTATGAAACCGCTAAACAAGCCGAGACAGCTGCTAAGAAGGAAAGGGATGAGAAAGAGGCTTGTGTACGGAAAACACAGAAGGGCACCAAACAATATTTTCTCGCTTGGGCAGAAAAACACAGGGCAGAAATCGTTTTTACTGAAAAGGTTGAACAAAGATGTGATGCTGAGTATAAGAGAGATTTGTGCTATGCAGATTGGATGAAATACAGGCACGGAGCTGACTCCAAGGAAGCACAAATAGCCCAGCATCGCGCAGAGTTGGCTCGCACAATGGAGTTTGTTTACAGTGGAAGCTCTCCATATTGGATAAAATGGGACAAGTTGTGTAGCAAAGTTTGGTGGGTGTATTATCTGCTCAAGGCGGAAGGTTATGACAACGTCGCAGATGAGCTCAGAAGCGCAAGAAAAGTGTTTTGTAATCGTATAAAAGAAGAATCCAATGGTAAAACCTTTCGCAATGCTCGGAATGCAGCCTTAGTAGCGTTGAAGAAATGGGAGAAAGAAGATGCTCGTGTTGCCTGGGATGAGGCCAAACCAAAGTACGACACTGCGTTAGCCAAGTGGAATGAGTTCAAACCAAAAGGAGAAAAATTCGCGGAAGAGTTGGAGAATGAAAAATATGAACTTGTGAAAAACTCTTTGACAGTGTACGCTATTGTAAGTAAGTGTAAGAGTAGTGCGTTGAAGAATGACCTCGATCGGAAAAGTCAAACGATTGATGATTTAAATGATCAACTGGACCAGAAGGATGATCAGATCGCTGCGTTGAACAATAAACTACACCAAAAGAGTCAAGAACATAAAGAAAATCGCACATGGATAGGATCGTTGATCCACACGAATCAAACATTGGCCAATTCGCTATGTAAACAGGTTGAAAGACCCGATACTTTCCAACCTCTTACACTGGTGGAAGAGTCTCAAAATTGGTTGGAAGGGAAGACGTCCTCGCATGCAAATTTGGCAAATTGGATCCAGAAAAAAATTGCCAAAATGGCAGCGTTGTAAAAGGATGAAGTTACCGCTCGTAATAAGTATAAGCATGAGTTTTATGATTCGATCAAAGAAATTGAGAAGCATCGCTTATCGCTTAAAGTGGTGTTGAGTGGGTGGATACTTGAATAGTTTTTCAACTTCTTAACCTCCACAAAATTATGTGTAAAGAAACGGAATAACAGCAGTTTACATACTCGACTTTTCCCTAAACAATTTATACCATGAAATCCCCTATGTTGATATTATTCATGCAATTGTTAAATCTAACCGCAGGCAGAGGGGCTAAATCGAAGAAAAAAAATGGAAATAATAATTGAATTACAAAAGAACTATGATGACACTGTCCAGTGTTGTAAAGCCACCGAACAGGTTGAGGAAGCTGCTGAGAAGAAGGAAAAGAAAGAAAATAGACGGCGCTCTCTTGATGCTGCTGATATTTGTGGAATAAATACAAAGGAACTGCCACTGCTGCTCTCTCTGTGTGCTGAGCACTGTGGTGGGGACCCTTCCAGAGAGTGTTGGCAATCACTTGTTTACTGCTAATAATAATAATATAATTGCTACTGTGTTTTTGTACATGGAGCACCGAGAAAATAAATCCCGATGACACCCACTGGAATGAGGTGCATCAATTTGTGTGGAAATACCTAATCTTTTTTCATTTTTATACTTGTAAGCAGATTATTGTTGTGCACCTTGTGGTGTATCTCACTCTGCAATTGTGTGGTTCTGGTAAATGATATCTCTTTTCTTTTTTATTTGCTTTCACATTATTTCTGAGCGGGATAACATATAATTTGCTTAATATAGTGGGGATACTAATTATAATGGGGACAGGGAGAAGCCAACAGAGAGATTTATGCATTATCCGTTGTTTTTATTGCTTCTCTCTCTCTCTGTGTGGCTATCTCTGCAATATTACCAAACGATATTTAATTTGTTTATTATCTTTTCTTTTTTATTTGGGATTGGATGGAACTTCATTTTGTTTGAATAATGGGTATTTTCCTTAATATGCATCTACCTCCGTTATATTCATGGTTAACTCCATATGTGTGTGTAGTAATAGCGGTGTACTGGTGCTTTATTGTTTTCTCTTCCTTCTTCTTCTTCTTCCACACTCCATCGAATATACCTGTGAACTCAAGTGACAAGGAGGATAACAAGAACAAGAAAAAGAAGAGCAATGATGATAATGATGCGCCGTGTGATGTGTGTGTTGGCCGTTGTGCTGTACTGTGCCTGCAGCTCTACTATGGCCAGTGAAGTGGGAACCGCATTGGGTGGACTTGCTCCCACGTTTATGGATTGGGGTGCACCTGTTACGTTTGCGTCACCCTCAGGGAGGACAGAACAATCCACTGGGACAAGAAGGAACAATGACGACGTAACCCATTCTCATGGTAGTGGAGTGGTGAATGAAGGACTCGCCGATAGGAGAACAGAAGTAAATGCAGAGGAGATGCGACCCGAAGGCGCTCCACGTACTCAAGTGCCTGGTAAGGACGGTGGACTCTCCAAACCTCAAGATTCTTCCGATCATTCCCATGGAAGTGAGGCAGGTGAAGTAGAGCATGGAGCATCGGTAGTACAAGGTGAAGTATCTTCTCCTGTTCAGAGTGAAGTGAGTACGTTACCATCAACAGGTACTGCAGGCACACACAAGAAAGAACAAGAGGTTAAACAAACACAAAGCCAAAATAACGGGACTGATCCTGCTACACACGGTACTGAAGAGGCACCAAGCAACACATCTGATAACACTACACCTGCTGACCCCAATCCTAACCAGCAATCTCCTGAAGCTACAGGTGCAACTGCTGCATCAAACTCACAAGAAACCACTTCCACTACTCCGGCTATCACCGAGAACACTACCACAGAAGCACCAACCACCACTCCATCTCGTGTTCCTGTACCGAACGCAGAGATCAGCAACAACATCGCCTCCACAGTGCAGAAGAACAAACCCATTGTTGACAGCAGTATCAGTCCTGTGTTGATGCGCACTGCAGCACCGCTACTGATTGTGGCTGTGTTGTTCTCCGCTACTGTGTACTGAACGGTGGGACTCATCTGAGAGCAAATAATAATAATAATGGTAATCCTAACATAATCATAATTGCGTATACCCCCATGGGTGAATAAATTAATAATCTGTTTACCAGCTTTTTCTTTTAATTGGAATATCTTTTTTCTTTTACTTTTATGTGTGTGTGTTCTTTTTCTAATAATTCCATTACTTGCTTTTTCCGTTGTATGTATGTAGAAAACTGGGCTGTTCTGTTCACTGACGGTATACATCTCTTGCTAGTACACACAGATGTGTGTGTGTGGAGTAGTTTAATATAAAAATTAGAGTCATGGACTATTGTGTGTGTTCGTGGAGACTGTCTCTGTGTGCCTGGGCTTCCACTGTGATGATAATGATAATGAACTGCTTTTTGCAATGTGGGAAAACAGGAAATAATAATAACAGATGAATTTATATTTATAATTGCGTATATATACACATACATATAGACTTATACCCATAGTCGGTGTATTTCTGTGTGTTTACTGTGTAAATTGGGCTAATTAATAATATTTTTTTCTTTGCTTTAGTGTGCGTGGTTCATTCTGTGCTTTTGCCCTGCACGGTTTTCGGTAATCTGTTTTATAAGAGCAAAGAAAAAAAATAGTAGTTAATATAATTTGTATTCGTAATTACTTGAGCACACCAGCATACTCAGTGGTCTGTGAGTTATTTTTGTGCGATTTGTCAGCTTCTTAATTTGTGTTTTTGTTCACGTTTTCTTTGCTTTGGTGCTGTGTGCTTTTTCCTGCATTGTTGTGTGTTGGAGTGTTTTGTGCGGTGAGAAAAAATGATAAAGAATACACATATATATTTGTAATTGTGTTTGGTCCTACAGGAAGAGTCATTTTTGATGTATTTCTTTGCTTTCTACTCTTTTGATGGTTGCACTCTTTAATTTCTTTTATTTTCTTTTGAGGGGTTAATTGGGATTTTCTGTTTGTTATTGGGTACTGTGTGCGTTTTTACTTTAATTTGGGTATTATATGAGTTATGGTTGCAGCGTTCTGCAATGTGTGTGCTTCTGCTTTAATTGTTGTGTATTCTTATTTTCTTGTTTCCATTGGTTCTATTTGCTTCTGGTTTTCTACCTGGTTTTCTGTGAGTGATTGAAGTAAGACTACTACAAGAAGTATTGTAATGGTAATGATGCGCTACGTGCTGTGTATCCTCGCTCTCCTGCTCTCCTGTGCGTGTGTGCACGTCCTCGCTGAAGAAGTGCCTGCCGCCGATCTTTCCGACCAAGTCCCTGATACGGAGAGTGAGACGAAGATTCTTCTTCAAGGTACTCCTGTCGCCCAAGAAGATACTCCTCAGTGCACTAATGGTACTACTACTGATGCTCCTGAATGTGCGAAAGCTAAACTTGAACGTCAGGAAACACCTGGACTTGATAATGGGGATCCTAAGTGCACTGGTGGTACTACTGATTCTTCTCGTTCTTGTACTCCTGCTGCTGTGGAACCTGGACGTGTTGATGGTTCTGAGTGCCCTCATGCTACACCTGAAACTACTGAACGTACTTGTAATACTCCTGTATTACAAGAACCGTCAGTTTCTCGAGCACAACAACAACAGCAACAGCAACAACAAGAACAAGCAGATCAAAATCGTGGGAGCACAGGTAGTGACAGTGACTCAGCAGGAAGGAAAGACCCAGGGAATACGTTATCCACAGCAGGTAATGTAGACTCACAGAGCCCACAACAAAACACTCAAGAAGTACAGGCATCAGCACCAACTGAAGACACAACCTCATCTGGAGACGGTGGTTCCAACAATACCAACCCACAAACTCAATCGGAAGGTGCAACTGAAGGTGGTGACAGTAATACCAGTAATCAGACTACTGCAGTTGCAGGTACGACTGCCACAGAAGGTTCACAGGGGAATGACAATGCTGAGGAACCAACCACCACCACCACAACAACAACAACAACACTTCCTCTTGAACTCACAAACAACAAGAAGGGTGATGCAGACAGCAGCAGCAGTATCAGCAGTTCTGTGTGGGTGCGTGTGCCACTACTGATTGTGGTTACACTGGCCTGTATTCTTGTGTGCTGATTGTAATGGTGCTATGGTGTGACTCAGGTCATCCTTTGTTTTCTTTTTTTGCATACATCCCTACAGTCTAACTAATCTTCCACCTGTTGGGATTATCTTTTCTTTTTTTTTTTTTGTTTATTAATGTGTTTTGTGTGTGTTTTTGCTCTCTATGTTTATCCTATAATAATAATTATTGCTACTCCATTGTGTGTGTGTGTGTGTTCTTGGAGACTCTCTCTCTGTGTGTGTGCACCTGGGTTTGCACAGTAATGATGATAATGAACTGCTTTTTGCAGTGAAAGGAAATAATAATAACAAATGAATTTATATTTATAATTGCTTGTATATGCACAGATATAGATTTATACCCATAGTTGGTGTATATTTCTGTGTTTACTTGGTAAATTGGGTTAATGGTCAATATCTTTTTCTTTGCTTGATGATTTTGCTGGGTGGTTCACCCTTTTTTGAGATATTTGTGAATGTTGGCGTTTTTTTTTTTACTCTTACTGAGGTTATTGCCTTCTTTAACTGGTAGGTTTTACTTTCACGATGTGAGTTTCCATAGTGGTAATCGATTTGTATGTCCTAACATGTTTGATACTTCAGTTATTTTTTTTTTTTTTTTGCTTTTTTAATTGTCTTTCTTTTTAGATCAGTGTTTTTACTTGAAACAAAACTTTTGTTTCTCTCATGATGATGATGATGAGCCGTGTGATGTGTGTGTTGGCCGTCGTGCTGTGCTGTGCCTGCGGGTATACCATGAAGGCTGCTGCTGTTGTTTCTTCTCCTCGGCCTGATGCTGTTCGTGCTGTTACTACTGAGGAACAGCCAAAGAAGTTTAATACTAGTGGTATGTTTGGATGGGAAGATTTTCTTATAAACGCAAGCATTAAGCATATGTGTAAGCACCCTAATACTACTGTTGATAACGTAAAGTGTTCGGCGAGGGGACTTCCTGAGACGGCAAGTAATGTGGCGGATCATGATAGTGGATTAACCTCACAGAATCACGAACAACAGCAAGGAGACACAAACATGGAACAACAAGGAGGTCGTCAAGAACAAGCAGCAGGACCATCGATACCAAATCAACCTGATGTTGTGGCGCCATCCGAAGATCGTGTGTTGGAAGAAAAACCACAAAATGGAATGGAAGACGGCAAAGCAGTAAAGCCTTCCAGTGCCTCTGAAGATGAAGAACACAAACAGGAAACAGAAGCAACAGACGGTGCCACTACAACACAAAGCCAAAATAACGGGAGTGATCCTGCTACACACGGTTCTGCAGAATCACTGAGCAACACATCTGAAAATAGTACACCTGCCGACTCTAATCTTAACCAGCAATCTCCAGAAGCTGCAGGTGCAACTGCCGCATCAAACTCACAAGAAACCAATTCCACTACTCCGACGAACCCCGACAACACTACCACAGAAGCACCAACCACCACAACATCTCCTGTTCCTGTACCCAACGCAGAGATCAGCAGCACCATCGTTTCCACTGTACAGAATAACAAGGTTAATGCTGACAGCAGTCTCAGTCCTGTGTGGATGCACACTGCAGCACCGCTGCTGATTGTGGCTGTGTTGTTCTTCTTTACCGTGTACTAAACGGTGGGACTCATATGAGGACAAATAATAGTAATGGTTAAACTAACATAATCATAATTGCTTATATACCCCATGGGTGAATAAATTAATAATCTGTTTACCAGTGTTCTCTTTTAATTCGAATTTCTTTTCTTTTTACTTTTGTGTGTGTGTGTTTGTTCTTTTTCTAATAATTCCATTATTTGCTTTTCCCGTTGTGTGTGTGCAGAAAACTGGGCTGTTCTGCTCACTGACGGTATACATCTCTTGCTAGTACACACAGATGTGTGTGTGCAGTA